AAAAAAAAAAAAAAAAATAGGGCTAAATCCACAAGCACAACAGCAAGTGGAAGAAGCCAGGCACAGGAAGGACCTCGCCGTGTGGGGAACTTAAGGAAGATGCGGGGCCGGTGGAGAGCTGGCTGCTGTCAGGGGCCTGGGAGGACCTGAGAAAAGGGCCGTGGGAATGGTCAGTTTGAAAAACCTGCTGGCTCTGCACTTCATGGGCATGCACGTGGGTATATTATGTTGGCAAAAAGACTTAAACTCTGTAAAATATTTGAAGAGGTTTATTCTGAGCCAAATAAGAGTGACTAACAGCCCGTGATGCTGCCTAGGAAGCCCTGAGAGCACGTGTCCAAGAGGATCACGCTACAGCCTGGTTTATACATCTTGGGGAGACATAAGACATCAACCCTACATGCAAGATGCTGGTTCAGTCAGGAAACACGGGACAACTCTAAGTGGGGGACAGGAGGGCTTCCAGGTCATAAGCAGATGCCAAGATCTTCTGATTGGCCACTGTTTGAAAGAGTTATTCTCTAAAGACTTGGAATCAATAGCAAGGAATGCCTCCGCTTAAGATAAGGGGCTGTGGAGACCAAGGCTTTATCAAGCAGATGAGGCCTCCGGGCAGCAGGCAGCAGACCTGAGAAGGTGCCAGACTCCAAGTACATTCCCTCCTGCATCAGGGAAAAGACCTGGGAAGGGAGGAGATTCTCTACAGGGTGCAGACTTTCCCCACAAGAGACAGTCCTATAGGGCCATTCTGAAATATGTCAAATAAATAGATATTTTGGGGTAAAATACTTGGATTTCTTTCAGGGCCTGCCACCTGTCTTGTGATGCTGCACTAGAGTCAGACTGGAATGTGGTGTGCTGTGGCTGCTATAAAAAGTCCACCTTTGTCAGTCTCTGTTTAATGTGAATGCTGGTCAGCTGGGCCTGAATTCCAAAGGGAGGGGCCTAATGAGGCCTGCCTGACCTCCCTAACGATGGCCTGAACTAGATTTTCAGGTTGGCTGAGCAATGTCTGAGGCTGAGAGAGGGGTCCATCAGTTGGATGGGGGGCTGAGAATTTAATTTTTGCTTCACAATTACACTTAAGCATGCTGAGCGGGCTTTCCAGTAGCAGGGGCAACACCGAAAGCACTGATTCAGGTCCACGTGAGCCACCGGACACCTCCCTGATCTGACCTTCTCCCAGACTCTGCCCTTCCCTCTACTCCAGTCCCAACTAGCTCGAAATACAGGGGGCTACAGAAATCCTGAGGGTGGGGGACAGGTGGGGACAGAACATGGCCTCCACAGGGGTGCTGCAAAGGTGAATGGGTTCCAAAACCCTGCTGAGACATCCACTTCTCCTATAAATTCTCTCTCTACAGCTAAAGATGTTGAGCAACATTGGAAACCACAGGAAAGTCAGCTGGAACAGGGAGACCGCTCGGGCAAGGTGGGCAAGGCGATGTGGGCTCATCCCAGGAAGGTCAGGAGCTACTGCAGGGCCAAGCCCCATCCCCATGTAATGGATACTAGCCAGCACGCACTCCTCCAAGATCCCAGTCTGCCCATCAGACACCTCCACAGGTGCCACATCCCAAAGGCCTCTCCAGGAGGCTGGTGGCGGGGTACAGACCTGCCCGGGAGCAGCAGCAGGGCACCATGGTCGGGCTCCTCCATGGCGTCCAGGCACTCGGAGGGCACTGCCGAGCCGCCGGCACTGTCTGCGTCCCCTTCAGGTTGCAGCTCAGGGTGCACCAGGGTGCTGGTGTCCTCGTCCGTGAAGGTCTCACACTCACTGTAGGTGCTCTCGGAGCCCATGTACGCGCTGTCCGTCACCTCGTTGGCCTAGGAGAGAGTGCGCCAGCAGTCAGCGGGCACCAGCTGGGAAGGGAACTGCGAACGCCCCACACCTCACTGCTGCAAGGCCCTGGAGAGGGCAGTGTGGAGGGAGGGGTCTGACGCCAAAGTCCCAACCGTCTCTAAGCAGGGACATTACTTATAAAACACAATTCAGGCCGGGCGCAGTGACTCACGCCTGTAATCCCAGGACTTTGGGAGGCTCCGGTGGGTGGATCCCTTGAACCCAGGAGCTCAAGACTAGCCTGGCCAACAAAGTGAAACCCGTCTCTACCAAAAATACAAAAATTAGCCAGGTGTGGTGGCACCTGCCTGTAAGTCCCAGCTACTGCAGAGGCTGATGGAGGAGCTTACTTTTTGTTTTTTGGGTTTTTTTTTTTTTTTTTGGTGACCGGGTCTCACTCTATCACCCAGACTGGAGCGTAGTGGCATGATCTCAGCTCACTGCAACCTACGAGTCCTGTGTTCAAGTGATTCTCCTGCCTCAGCCTTCCGAGTAGCTGGGAAGACAAGCATGCACCATCATGCCTAAGTTTTGTACTTTTAGTAGAGATGGGGTTTCACCATGTTGGCCAGGTTGGTCTCAAATTCCTGACCTCAGGTGATCCACCCACCTGAGCCTTCCAAAGTGCTAGGATTACAGGAGTGAGCCACCATGCCCAGCCAGGAGGACCATTTCAGCCCAAAAGGTCGCGGCTGCAGTGAGCTGTGATCACCCCACTGTACTCCAACCTGAGTGATAGAGACCCATCTCAAAAAAATTAATTAATTAAAAATAAACATAATGGCTGGCTGCAGTGGCTCACACTTGTAATCCCAGCACTTTGGGAGGCCGAGGCAGAAGGATCAACTGAGGTCAGGAATTCAAGACCAGCCTGACCAACATGGAGAAACCCCGTCTCTACTAAAAATACAAAATTAGCCGGGCATGGTGGT